ACACACACACACACACACACACACACACACACACACACACACACACACACACACAGTATCTCCAGTCCATATTTCAGCACATGAAAATTATTGTAACTTCAAGAACTTCCAACCATTTGAAAACAAAAGAGCACATTTTTCATGTATTGGGAAATTAATATGGTTTAGCTATTGCATAGGGAAAAACAAGTAAAATCACTTACCAAGGATTAATATAAAATGCCAAAAGATAATCAGTCCAGAGGCATGAGGGTAGCAGAGTTAGGAAAGCAAATACACTTCTACGCCTGTGAGCATTAATAGATAACATATATAAAGATGAAAAAAAGTGAGGAGAGTTAGTAAGACAAACTAAACTCAGGAGCTCAGTCAATTGCATAATAGAGGTTAGTTAATAGGATAAAAATTTCCTGTTACTCTGTTAAACGTGAAAATTATTAGATTCCATGGCACTGGTACTCCATGATCCTGCAGCTTGTGTAGAAATTTATACCTGTTCAAAGTGAGTGTAAAATTGTACACAACTGGATGGGAGCATTTTACAGTAGTGCAAATACACCTCTACCCCAATATAACACAAATTCGGATATAACGCGGTAAAGCAGCACTCCGGGGGGGCGGGGCTGCGTGCTCCGGCGGATCAAAGCAAGTTCGATATAACGCGGTTTCACCTATAATGTAGTAAGATTTTTTGGCTCCCAAGGACAGCATTATATCAGGGTAGAGGTGTAACTACACAGAGTGCAAGGCAGTGTAGATTTAAGCCCAATATTTTAAAGCAATGTTAATGGATGTAATGGTGCCAGGTAAAGATGCTCCATGTGAACTCAGGGTGGGATTTTCAGCAGTGCCTAAAGTCACCAAAGTATTTTTAAAATCCTACCCACAACTTTGTCATCATTTATATTGCTCTAGTTTATGGTATATAGGGTATTTCAAGGGAGTTACATTTCATTTTCAGCTACGTATAGCTATTATATAGCCCAAATTTGCAAAACTCGTTCTGGCAAGAAGTCCCATTGGCTTCAGTGGGAATATGTGTATGAGTGTCAAAGGATCAGGCACATATACCTTCTCAGTCCTGTTGAGTCAGATTTCTGCAAATGACCATGAATCTGCAAAGGCAATACCACTAATAGGCAATACCAAGTCTTAAATAGTCACCATACATTGTTCCCCAAGGTTTCCAGCAAAGTTTTATTTGTTCTTTTGCTAAACTCAGTTTATTTCTGTTGTTTCTGTGGATAATTTTTTTAAGGCAGATTTCACTACTATTAAATATAAGTTTTAGATACAAAATAACCCTTAACATTTATATTTGTGTGTTATGGGCAGGGCCGGCTCCAGGGTTTTTGCCACCCCAAGCAGCCCCCCCCCCAAAACAAAAAACAAACAAACAAAAAAGCCCCGATCGCGATCTGCGGCACTTCGGCAGGAGGTCCTTCGCTCCTAGCGGGAATGAGGGACCCACTGCCAAATTGCTGCCGAAGAGCCAGACGTGCTGCCCCTCTCTGGTGTGGCCCCCTCAAGTACCTGCTTGGTAAGTTGGTGCCTGGAGCCGGCCCTGGTTATGGACCAAATTCTGCTCTGAGTTACACAGATGTAAATCCAAAGAAACTCAATTAATCCAGGAGTTACTCTGGCTTTACAGCACTCAGTACAATTTGGTTCTGTATAATCAAAGTACTTTACAAACATTAACTCTTAATGAAACTGATAGATTCTGCACTCCTTATTCAATCAATGGGAGTTTTAACTGAGTAAGAATTTTGTGATTTGGCTTATCATGAATGTCTGGCAATTCCCAGAAGTAATACTGCTGATCTATGCCCGACTACTCTAAAAGAGGAACAAAGAATGGACACTTCCTTTGTCTGTGGTGTTGGTTAATATGGAGATAGCAGCACAAATGGGGCGTGTATGTGTGTGTATGTGTGTATGTGTGTATGAGCAAGAGTGTGCATGTGTGTGCACCAGAGAGAGTGAAAATCAAGCTGCGTCTGCAGTAAGTGACCCTAACACAAATCATCCAGTCTACACAGGAAAACCCCACATAGGGAAGTGGAAACTCCAGGAAGTTTCTTACTTTTTGTTATTTTTGCTGCTGCAAATAAAAGGTGCTGGGGAGTCTGTTGGGCCCAAGATCTATACAGATTTTTACAGATTTTGGGGGTCTGTCAGATACAAGTCTGCCTGGGGGCAAGGGAAACATGCTGCCCAGAACTCACCTGGTGATGCTGCCCATACAACCCATCCTCCAGGCAGCTATGAAGCATGGAGTGGGAGAGTGGTTTAGGCACCAATCCTGTAAACACTTAAGCACATGATTTACTCTAAGCACATGAGCAATACCACTGACATCCAGACTACTTACATGCTTAAAGTTAAGCATGTGCTTATGTGTTTATAAGATCAGGTCCTTACTCCTTAATAGTTGAGAGGAATCCCTGTGGGGCTGGTGTGGGGACAAAGAGGGTCCCTTCACAAGCAAGCCTCTATTTTCACAGAGGGCCTTCACCGGGCCTGGGAGTAGGAGCGAATGTTATTGCCAAGGCAACCCTCTTTCCCTTCCACATCCCCAGGGTCGGGGATTTGCGGGTCTTCATTCCATCTGCCCACAGAAGCAGACGGAACAGTTCTGGCCGATGTTTCCTTTCAACCTCTGATATCAAACAGGAAAAGTGTCCATCAAACCACAACCTAATCTGATTGAAATTCCTATCTTTTTTTATAGGCAAAACTCCCACTGAAGTGAGGCCCTCAAGATTTGGCCCCATTGCCTTAAACTGGTCAAATACTAAACAGGTATCATCTGCATGAATTCTCAAAGATTATAACTCAAGCAACAGGAATGTTCACACTTACTCATGCAAGCCTAACAATGAATTCTCCCCCCGCCAAGCCCTTTCTGTTTTTAATAATGTCTGTTGCTATTTTAGTAATTTGATTCCAGTGTGGATTTTTAATTTACAAGAGTGTTTGATCTTCTGCCTGGGCTGCAATTAACGTACTCCAAATAAGAGAAGCTGAGAAGGAGATTAGCATGTACTCAGTATGGCTGGCTGCTATTAAAGCTAGACCAAGCAAGTGAAGCTTGTTTAATATGTAGTTAATTAGCAGCACTGTTAGGCATTGACAGGCTTTCCTGGGATTGTTTGTTCAGTTTGTGTGCTTATTAGCAAAAGGCTTGTTTTGGTGCAGTATCAATCCATTTAATCCCATCCTTGCTGGCAGCCTACACCCCGTGAGATCATAGAAACGGTTCCAAGTCCACCAATTCTTCATTCCAATCCCTTTCACATTCAACAAAACTGAACCACGAGTGAAAAACTGAAGCACTTAGTTTCTTTTCCCTATGGATTTTGGTGGCATTTTTTAATAGTGTATTTTGGCCAGCTTTGGAAGCTACCTATGTTTGGATTTTTTGGGGTCACTGACAATAACTTCCCAAAACGGTAAACAAGTCAGTTAGGAGCAGCACTGGACTATCGGGAACATGAATAAGAATCACAACATCAGCAGAAAATAGGGAAATCACTAGGGCCCATTTTGCCTCGATGGAAGCTAATAGGGTGGATTTATTTGCTCTAACACCTCTCAGGGAGTGATGGAACTATTGATGGAATGGAATAGCTAATCAATGCCTGCTGTTTCTGCAGATGGTTTTCCAGACCTGATTGGGTGTGTTTTGCTTCCAAATACCCCAGCAACACTGAGCACAAAGTTGTAAGAGCTATTTGAGCTAGCTTGGCCTTGTTCCAAATACAAAGGAAAAATAACTAATGGCACTGGGGCTTGTATTTCTGTGAACAGAGTTGTTAGCTGATGATCTATAAAGAGCAGCCTCACTGCTTGACATTAATATATCTCCATAGAGCTGCTAATGGATTTATAGATCAGGCTTCTATCCCTTTGTTACTTTAGGAAATATATAGAATGTGTGTAAGGGAAAGGAAAAAAATGTAGCTAGTCCAGTTGGAATATGTTGTACATCCTCATTTCCTACAAAAAAAATATTTCTGACAAAAGACATGGCCCTGGGCCATCATTCAGTCAAATAAAATACAAAACAAAACCAAAAATCAGCTACCGTTGCTTTATGTTAAATTGCGCTAGTGATCATATAACAAAAACATAAGAACATAAAAGTCAGACTTGCCGACGAAGGTAGATGGTGAGAAAAGGATGAGGGGAGGGGAAGCATAGAGGTAGCAGTATATAACTCACCAGTTATATGGAAGTTTTCCATCTCTCTCCAATGAAGCAAAATTGACAAAGGTTCCAGCCCCACACTCCCTGTTTCAGGAAGACCATTGAGTTCAAGGTTATTATTGCTGGACAAACATAATGCTTGTTGATTTTGTCAATGGTGTTGCCCTAATACAGATCGCTAAGAGCCTGATTCTATGAGGTGGTGTGTATCCAGGCCTCCCACTGAAGCAAGGGCTGAACTTGCTGGGTACAGCTCAACTGAAGTCAGTGGATCTGCACCATCGTAAGCCATGTCTGGATGTGACCTTTTAGAAGTAGTGGGTGCTCACCATCTCCTGAGATCAAGCTTCCTAATATTCTGCCTCAAGAATAAGATGAGAAAAAAGTTGTCAAAATGGATTTCTATCTAGGGATGTAAATGGCACCAATCCCCATAGTTTCAGAGCACCTGCCAAGTGCAGTATTCTCCTGTTCAGCTGAAATCCTGTTGTCTGATCCTCTGCATTATCCAAATCCCTTCCTTGTCCCCCCAGCATGAGACACATGCCCCTTGCAGCATGTATCTCATGCTGGGGGACAAGGAAGGGATCTGGATAATGTGGAGGTTTGGATAATAGAGCAGAGACCCCCAGCAAGGACTGAGAGGATGATGATAACGAATCATCCTGCTGCTGATTGGCTCCTGCAGCAGTGCAGGGAGCCCTCTGCAGCCCCGTTGTCCCTCAAGTGAGTATTTAGGTCAGAGCAGAGACCCCCAGCCAGGAGTGCAAGGAGGATAACAAGACCCTGGCTGTGGGGGAGGCCATCCCGCTGCTGAATGTCTCCTGTCCTCTCGATTATCTGAATAAAATCTGTGTTGTCCCCCCCCCATGCTATTCAAATAATCAGGAGTATACTGTATTTGTCCTTACATCACCCCTAAGCTGCTGGAGGTGTATGAAGGAACTGCATCGTTTATAAAGAGCAGTACTTGGAGGGAGGGGAAAAGGTGCCTTTCTTCTGTCTGAAGGAACAAATACTCGGCAGAGAGAGGCTGGTCTTGATTGATTAGTTATCTGATCTGGAATGGCAAATTTTGTGTTCCCAGCAATTTAAATGATTTTGCAAAATAATCTGGATGATTTTAAGAATTCTATAAACCATACATCTTTATCTGTCTGAAAACCATCTCATATTTTATTTAATATTCAGTAAATCTGAGCAATCAAATAGCCCAAGAGAAGATGACTGCTTGATAATCAGCCCTTAAAAATGGTTTGAATTTGCATTTTACCAAACCCTTCATAGCTCCAAATTAAGACAGAGGTTGAGGCTAATAATTCCACCCAACAGTAAGAACAGCTATGCGATAAAGCAAGTAGTAGTTAAACTCCTAAGAAACAGCAGCGAACAGGGAAACTTTTGAGGTACTATGTTTATAGATATCTCAAACACCAAGTGAGCACAAAGCAAAGCTTGTGTGCCACACAAGCAAAACCCAATATTATATTTTACCCATTATTTTAAAGCTTCTTGAACTTAGAATAAGACTGGACCTACCTGGCCATTTGCAGATGTTTCCGCCTGAGTACAACAAGAGTCACAAGCAACAGTCCAATCAGGAGAATGCTCAGGATGGCTAACACAGAGATCACCACTATGTTGGGATTCATCTCAGTAACTGCACACAAACAATGACTCTGGGTTATTAATTTCAGAACACATGATAATTTTATATTTATATATATTATTGTTTTATATTCTTCTCAGTCAACCTTCCGAGTGAGAAATCTTATCAGTGTTGGTTAGGGCAGGTTTAGGGTAACTGACCCCATACAATTCAATAGGGGAAATGACACAGTTGTGGCATGGTTGCAAGCTTCTGCACAGGAAGCTTTTATGAATGTTAATGAAAGGGAGGAAAAAAAGAGGTAAGAAAGGAAGAAAGAATGAGTGTATATAAAATCGATATCTTATTTATTTAAGTCTTCCACAATGCACTCCAACATCTGTGGCATTATATGTCAGCAATAATCAATACAGTCTCTAACCTGAGTCTGAAATAAAGGGCCTAATTCTCTGTTGGGGTAACTCAATTGAAGACAACTGAATTACATCACCAGATAATTTGGCCTAAAATATTTTGTTGCAATTAGAGACAGAGTCAAGGCTCAGGAACATTCTTAACAGGTGTGTTTGCATCAGCTTTTTCAGATTTATTTCTCGTTCTACAGGACATTATTATTATTTGTATTGTGATGGCACCAAAGAAGGGAGTATTCTTGCCCAGTAAAGCTTACTATCTATTGTAAGAGTGCCTACAGAAGCAGTCCTTAGAACAGAACAGGAGTTTAAGATAAGTACTACATGCTGAACTTTGACATTTAGGTCATAACATTACTTGTAAGATATGCTTTAGTCACTTATGGTCTGATCTCATTAACTAAGCAGAACTGAGCCTGATTATTCTGGATGGGAGACCCACAGCTGTAAGGAAGTGGTAATGGTGATTCAATAATGGCATTCTTCCTTCCGAGTAAATTTGAGCCCAGAACCCATGAGGATGCTAGAGGGCTTGGCTCCATCAGGAGACATCTTTTTAGTTTCTGACCTCTCCAGGTCATTCAGTTGCCCTTTCCTTCTCACCTCTTCCCAGTTCAGTCTCTGGATCACCTCCGCCCTGAAGGCAGAAAAAAACTTCTCATTACCACAGAGGAAGAGTCCCAGCCTAGTAACTGAGACTTTGCCCATATTTTGCCTGGACACGGCTATGATAATTTCCTCTACGGGTGTCATCAGGGCAGTAATCCCAGAGTCTTCCTTCAAACTGGAAGCAAGGGACTATGAATTATAAAGCCCAATCTAAAAATCTAATTAGAATTATTTTAAAACACAGAGAGAAATTGGGGTTTCCCTAACGATTTTAAAAAAAGGCACTCCCTAGTGGTGAACAGAGGTGACAGCAATACCTAATACTTAACACTTAACCAGCTGCCACTCCATTCCACCCTGGAGCTGGCTACATTTCAGTGAAATAATTCTGATATCAGTAACACCTGAAAAGCAGCTTCAGAAGGAACAAAGAGGCAAACATTATAGCTGTGTAGAGAGGTGGAACTGGCAAAGTCTGGCTCACCCATGGTAGAGACAGCTATGAAGGTGGGAACGCTAGGGCTGTTGTGGCTGAAGGTAGTCACGCTGCAATTGTAGGACGTGGCAGGCAGGAGGCTGGAGATAGTCACTACATGTGAAGAAACAGTAACAGGTTCCTAAAGATATGAAAAAAGTACACTGTAGTTTGTCTCTCTCATTCAACCCTTGTTTTCTACGTGAATTGAGATCTGGCAAAAGAAGCCAGTCTATTTAAATGGTGGGCAGGGCCCACCTAAGCAATGAAAAGATCTGTTCCTGAGATGCAGGAAGGGCCACAGAATCCAGAACTTAACTGATTATTGATGGCAAAAAATGAAAAACAGAGATGGAGGTGCAGGTCTCAGGGCCAAATGAAGGATCCAGAGGGGGAAAACCAAGCAGAGAACCTCAGACAGTGTCCACTCTTCCAATTTGTCCAGGGAGTCAGTAGAGCAACACTCAGGAACTGTGCCTAGATGCATGCACAAGGAACTGGAAAATGGCCCCACAGCCATAAAAAACTTCCCTGTCAAGCTTCCTCCTCCTGGACGGCAATCTTAGCTAGTACCAGGAGTAGATTGATAAGGAGGTCTTGAGCCTAATTCAGACTGACAACTCTGAATGCTAAAGTCACGTTTAGCCACAGAGCAGCGACAGTAGCAGCAAGTTCCCCATACACCGTCTTACAAATGTGCCTCATCCTTTCCTTGGAGGTACGTACCTCCTTCACCAGTGGAGGGTAGTTCAAGTATCTTTGCACTTTGCCCACAGGTGACTTTTTTTGAAGTGGAAGATCATAGTAAAGCCCCAGGGATAAGCAGCATTTATTAATACAGCTATCAGATCCCCGAGCCTTGCTTTTCTAGTCAAGAAAATTTACACCTCGTTGTAAACGCTATAAATCTTCGTACAGAGTTTTAATGACTGTTTCTGTGTTTGATGCATGGTGTAAAAGGTGTTTTATAAATGCTGATGGGATGAAAGAAAGTCAATAAAATAAACGTGTAGACCTATTGATAACCCTTTTTTCTACCAATTCAGCTAAAATCAGAAGAGGTTTATTGATATGAAAATAGGGCAAAATAAATTGGATGTTTCGGCTGGTAATTTAGAAAGGGAACTAAGAGTGTATTTGTGATCTACAGCCCTGGGCTAATGAACACAGCGGGTGAAACGTTATGCAGCAAACTCTGATGGCCACAAACACAGAGTGGGAGTTCTGTGCAGGTTTGCCAGGGCCGGCTCTAGGCACCAGCAAAGCAAGCAGTTACTTGGGGCGGCATATTTGCATGGGCGCAAGAATCCAGCATGGGAGCTGTAGTTCCTTGGTTAGCTCCCTGCCTATAGAGCCAGCCCTGGAGTAGGGAAAGAACTACATTTCCCAGCATTCCCTCGGCCGTTAGTAACAGAAAAGGGAGGGGGAAGGAGGATGGAACTGAAACCTGCAGCTTGCTGTGAATGGTAGGGACAGAGCCAGCTCTAGGTTTTTTGCTGCCCCTCACCCCAGCCCTGGGTTCCCCCTGCACCCCCGTGTTGCCCCAGCCCTGGACTCTCCCCCACTCACACCCCCTGCCGCCCCAGCTCTGGCCCCCACCCGCACCTCCTGCTGCCCCAGTCCTGGGCTCCCCCCCCCCGCACCCTCTGCTGCCCCAGCCCTGGGCTCTTCCCTCCCGCCCCACACCCCCTGCTGCCCCAGCTCTGGCCCCCACCCGCACCTCCTGCCGCCCCAGCCCTGGGCTCCCCCCCCCCGCACCCTCTGCTGCCCCAGCCCTGGGCTCTTCCCTCCCCCCCCGCACCCCCTGCTGCC